TTCCCGGGCAGCGCTTGCCGCCCGGCCCCGTTCTGGGCGCGCTGACTCGGAGCGAAGGGCCGCGGAGCCCGCCAGGCCGGGTGCCCAGGGCGCCTGCTGCCCCGCTCATTTGGAGCCGCTTCTGGGAATCCCGAGAATTGGATTAGGCTTCTCGTGACTCCGAAACGAAGCCCGCTTCTTGGAAAGTAGGGCCCTCGCTTTCCGGCGCTGGCAGCACCCCAGTAAGTTCCTTTACTGAACGGGCCCGTTTTCTGGCGTTGTGCAATAGGTGGAATAACAAATTAATCCCAGACTGTACTAAGCCTTCGACCCACCTCCAGAGTCAAGACTAATTAAGCTTCTGGTGTTGAGTGAATGTAATCTTTAGCCTTTCAACCCAGGAAACCTTATGTGACCGCAACTATTAAGTGTGCATTGTAGCATTTTTTATTTGACTTTCCAATAAATACCCCTGAGTTCTAGGCTGCCTCCTACCCAGCAGGTGTGCAGAGGACCTGTTGGAGAAATGATGATGATGATGACGACTTTCTCTCAATTTATAGCATGTCACTGGCAGGTGAACTGGGATTTCAAAGTATTCGGTGAGGTGGTTGAAAATCAAAAGGGGGCTGGTTGCAGATCCCAGGGCATTAACTGGGCTTGATGAACAATGCTGGCTTGCGCTCGTGCAAGATGTAAGCACATAGACCACCTTTGTGGCTCCTTGTCCCTGCATCCAGTAGCCTGAGCTGGAGTGGATCCAAACCTAGAAGTACAGAGACTGAGAGAATTGGAAATATTCAGGTTTTAGGAATGACCCATGAGAGAAGACTTGCTAGGACTTTCCAAGTTTGGAAGGGAGATGTACAGAAGGCAGCGTGATCTATCCACTATTGTTCTAGAAGACAGTCATGGGTTTTTCCTTCAAGGTACAGGGAACCAGATTCTGATTCAAAGTTTGGACAACGGTACTCATAGTAAGGCCAGTTTGACAGTGGTTGATTGGTTATATACCCTCAAGTTGCTGTTGACTCCTAGCAACCACATATGGTAGACAGATTTTCTCCATGATGATTTGTCCCTAACCTGGTCTTTCAGGTCTTCCAACCATATTAAGGGAGGTGGTGGTCTCTCCATTTCTGGAGATGTTCAAACAGAGGTTGGATTGCAATTTCTCAGGGACGCTTTCATTTGGCTTCCAGCATTGATGGGGTTGGGCTTGATCATCCAAATGGCCCCTCCCAACTCTGTGATTCTATAAAGACAAACACATTCTGTGAGTTAGCTAGATAGGATATTGTTATATTATTATTTTTGCAATAAAATCCACCGAAGAGATGCCCGTGGTATCTCCTGTAAATTGGTCCAGGGAGAACTGAGCGTGCTCGGTAGTTGTGGAATCTTGAGTATCAGCTGGAAAGAAGGCAGTGCAAAGAGAAGAGGGTGGGACAGTGAAGTGGCCTATAAGAAAAAGGTGGTGTTGGTTGGAAGTGTGATTGTGTCAGGAGAACAAAATCTCTGCTTGCTTGTTTGCTTTCTCTATTTACTGCCCTATTTGTCCATTTCTACCAATATGATTGAAATGTGTGCCTTTGCATAAGATTTGGCAGTTTTTACAAATTGATTGATTGATTGATCAAGTATGTGCCATCGAGTCAATTTTGACTTCCAGAGACCACATAGAGGTTTATTTATTCAATTTCTGTAGCCACTCATCTTGCATATGTGATTCGGGGCAGCTCACTCAGCTAAAACAAACAAATACAAATAACAAAAAAAAAAATTTAAATAATAAAAATAATAAAACATAATCTGTGGGAGAGCACAGTCCATACATTACAAACAATGCAGCCGTGTTGCAGGCTCCATGCCTCCACTGGATCCCCAGGCATAATGCAAAGCCATGTCTTCAAGGCCTTCTGGAAAGTCAGTGGGATGAGGGCCTCCTCCAGGATGATCTGCCCCCGACCTGGTCCTTCAGTTCTTCCAATGGTGCCCCCATCGCTACTCTAATCAAATCCATCTACCTTGTTGCTGGTTGTCCCCTTCATCTCTTTCCTTCCACCTTTCCCAGCATGAGAGCCTTCTCAAGGGAGCTAGGCCTTTGCATATTACTAATAGTTATATTATTTATAATAATATTGCATAATAATGCAGCATGTCTATAGGTACATAATGTAAGTGCGGAAGGAGAATAAAAGTATGCCTACTGTAGAAAGCAAAACCCAGGTCCAGCGTGGGTTGGAAGTTTGGCTTTGATCGGACAGGGAATGCACTGAAGTATAACCTAAGCAGGTATGAATAAATAAAAATAATCATTTACCATTTACACTACATTTACAATAAAAATGGGTCTCCTAACTGTAGTTTCAGTTTGGGGTTTATATTAGAAGGACGTAAGGTAGGATTGCAGAAGGATTTGAAAATAGAATGTCTTAAAACTGACCCATTTGGGTTTTTTTAGCTCGTCGGTTCACAGACAAGCATGAATGGATATCCGTTGAAAACGGTGTTGGAACCATAGGAATTAGCAACTTTGCACAGGTACTGTTTCCCCCCTTCCTGGTTCTTGGCATTGTCGGTTGACCTTGCTCTTTGATTTCTGGATTGTCCTGATTGCCATTTCTGCCTGCAAAGCTGAACTGTGGACTTGGACCTCAAAGCCTGCCCAGAAAACATGATTGACAGTTCTAGCTGCCCTTTTCCTGCCTTGTTGGTTTGGCCTTAGTCCAATAAACTTAGGACCTGAGGGGAGTTGTGGCTGAAAACTTCTATTAGTTTCTCTTTGGTTCGTTGGAGAAAATATATTTATAATGTAAGAGAGGGCCGAGCAACCTTTAGATAACCAGGAGCAATTCTTAACAATTTAGTGAAGAGCATGAAGGCTTCAGTTGGCTGGACAATGATCCAAACTAGGTGAGGCTGTCCCAGTCCCATGGATAGGGCCAAAATATCCTGCTTATTTCCCCCTTAACTATGCAAATCCCATTTTAGGGTTTTCAGGGCAGATTTTTTGGTGTGCTGTCATCTTAAACTGGTGACAGTGATGCAGTTAATTCTTGACAATTGTGGTCAAAGGAGTGATTATCTGGGAGATGGGAGAGATATGTTTGAGGGGTCTGTGCAACCTAAGGCACATCTTGGGTTGGAAATTCTGGGAGTCTTGTGGCTCCTCTTCTGGATATTTGATGAAGTTGTGAATTCACTAAGCAGGAATCTAAGAGATGAAGACATTCTGGTAGACCTCATGTATATACTTTACATTTACTTTTTGTTCTACGTATAAGAACTTTTCCCATTTGAAATGAATGCTGTGGCCATTCTTTTGTCTGCTTTCCACTTGGTGTGTCAGAAAATTGGCAAGAGCTTGGTTGCCTCACAGGAGAGCAGCGATTCCATTCCCCATCTATATAAAAAAAAGCAACTTTGAACAGAAGATGAGTTCCCCTCTCTGCTTGTTACAGTCACTACCTCTGTATCTATGCAGACCCTTCAGAATCTTCAATGTTCAACAGCAGATGTTGACTTCAAGGAAGTGATACCGCATGGACAACTTCTTGGAGTTCCCATTGGCCTTGCCGATGGGTGTTGGTGGCCTAGTTTCCTGCCATTTTGAGATATGAAATACATGAAAATTGAATTTTTAGTCTTCCCCATCTCAGAAAATGCTATTTCTGCTCATAAGGGTCACTCATCTAGTTTACATTGTTGCTGAGCCTGCCACACTTCTCTTCCATGTTGTGGCCTCTGCTTGGGTCGTTCTCTAAGTGGGAGTAGCTAAAGTCACCAGCATAGGATGGCACTACCCCATTTGAGAATAGTGTGCAACTTGGGAATTCTTTTGGACTCACAACTGCCGCTCAAAGAGCAGGTGGCAGCTGTGGCCAGGAGGGCCTTTGCACAGTCGTATCCAATTGTGTGCCAGTTGTATCCATTGCTAGAATGCGAGGTCTTTCACACAGTCAGTCATGCCTACTCACTTCATGGCTGGACTACTGCAAGGTACTCTACAGGGGTCTGCCCTTGAAGAACCATTGGAAGCTACAACTGGTCCAAAATGCAACAGCATATGCCTTCAGAATTATGCCTTCTCTATTGCAGCATCTGCCCTCTGGAGCATTATCCTCCCAGGGATTCACAGAGTTCCTACCCTACAAGAGTTCTGCAAGCCATTGAAAATGTGGTTGTGCACCCAGGTCTGAAGTTAGGATACACCCATCATGGCTGATATTTTGTAGGAGCACCTGTGATGTAGCTAAAATCCCCAAAGTGCCTACCACCTGAAATCTTACCATGTTAGATTAATTCTGGTTCTGCCATTTGAATGTGACCAGTAAATGCATTGGAGGAGTGGACTTGGTGCTTTCTCTGCACCAGCTAGGGCACAGAACTCTGTCCAATTAATTGCACATGGGAAGGGGCGCATAGGAGCCTGAGAGATTTCCCAGCTGCTTTTCCCTTCCTTTATCACTCCTCCAGGCAGACTCAAGGCTATTTTATTATGTCAGCATTTCAAAGTCAACCTGACATTGTCCAAATGGGTTAGCAGCCCTCTCCTAATGTCAGCTGCTGTTCTTATGTTTGTGAAAACACCCTCTGGTTGCTCTGAACACCCTCTGCTGGGGTCCAGAATTCTCAGTCAGATTGGTGAGGAATTCTGCAGGTTGCAGTTCTGGAGGTTGCCCTGTTAGAGAAGGGTGTTCAAAGACTTTCTCAGGGACAAAATGAGAAGTGTAAGAAAGCTTCTCATATTTGGGGTCAGGTCTTGGGGCTGGCCTGGCTGGTTGGCACAAACTGACTGGGAGGGTGGTGGACTTGCTTTCTGCTTAAATTCTACTGTGGGATGCTTAGCTTGGCCCAACCTTTTGCACTTCTCTGAACCATTGCTGATGCAAGAACTTTTCATTTCAGGAAGCATTAGGGGATGTTGTTTATTGCAGTCTTCCAGAAATTGGAACAAAGCTGAACAAACAGGGTAAGCATTTTTAATGTCAAAAAAACTCTTGTCTCCCCCAAAGGTAAATGTTACATTAAGCAGTAATGTCATCCTTGGAGAAATACAGTTACTTTAGGGGTTTTTTTTAAGGATACAGATGTGCCCAAAAGATTTTTGTTTCCTTTGAACAGCAG